AGTACATGCCCCGGAATGTTCCCAGGCACAAAGAGGCCTTCCCCATGTCGGGTCTCCACCCGTGGACACTCAGGTGTGCCTGCCCAGCACGCACAAAGCACAAAGCTGTGCGCTCTCCTAAACCCACCAGAGAAACCCCTGGTGGGAGGAATAAGCACTCAGCTGCACACACACCCCACAGAGCCAGGCCAGTGTCTCCTGAGCCTCAATAATGCACGATCTATACCCAGAGATAAAAGTCTAGACAATAGATGGCTGTTTATGACAACGAGGCTTTCCAAGATTGGGGCCTGCGATAAATCTCTGGTGAATCTTCCTGTAACTCAACTTCTGGCCCTCGTGCCCAGAGACCACAGAGAGGAAAGCAGCAAAATGGGGAAGACTTTTCAATCATGAGCAGAAGGCGACTTCCGCACTGGGGCTAGGGAGTGCAGGCGGCCACACTGGCCCCAGGTGGCGTGTCCACACTGCAGAAGCTTTTGAATCAAACTTCAGAAAACAGGGGAGTTAGGCTCCCGGGCTCTGGAAATAGGGTGAAATGTGCAGGCAGATGGGAGGGCCTGGAGGCTGGGACAGACCCACAGACCATTCTGGCTGCAGGCAAAGGGTCTTTTTTATTGGTGACTGAATCTCCTTGCTGTGTGTCACCTGAATTCTTTCTCTCTCCTTTTCCTTTTTGGATTGATGGGCTGTTCCCTTTTGCATTTTCGACCCAGGCATCTGATTACAAGTAAAGAGCCACTGAGTTGATCTCATAAAAATGCCGAGAGCTCACTTTGATCTGGAGAACTGGGTCCGAGCCTAAGTAGGCGCTAAAGTCCCGGAATGGTGTCCTGTCCAAACGGGGCCTCCGCTCCACCGCTCCACCTGGAGCCCTGAGCCCTGCTCCAGCGGCCCAGCAGGGCCATCCTGCGCAGAAGAAAAAGCATTTTCTGTGCTGCTGCAACTGGGTTGGGAAAACCAAGATCCAAAGGTAGTTGCTCCATTTCCAGCCTGCTTTTAAGACATTTCCTTCATTTCAGAGCATTTGGTGAGGGGGCCAGTGAAACTAGCTCGTAAAATGGGACTTTTATGGGGAGAAATGGGGTCGCATTGCTAGCCTCCTGGGACAATCCCTCCGCTGAGAAAGGTGGGTGGGGCTTCAGGGGCAGAGGAGCTGCCCTTCTCCCTCCCCTGATCCTGTCCAGGGGCCAGCGCAGCAGCATCCATCTGTTTAGGTGGTCTGACTTGGGCTTTGGGCTTGGGGTAATGGCCAGGGCTGAGGAGAGGTGGGCGCCAAGAACCGCCAGTCCTATCCCCTTCTAGTTCCCTAGAGGGGGGTGGGAGGTGTCCCCAGTGCAGAATAAACTGCTGGCCTGAAAATCCCCAAGCATACTAAAAGGATTATTAAACAGCCAGTATTGCTCTAAGAAAGAGAAATATGTGCAAAAAGATGCAAGCTGATTTCTAATGAGGGTGCATCCTTGGCAACCCAGCCTCTGAATCGCTGAGAGTGTCCATGTGCTTATTGTTTATCTCTATTGATTCTACCCGGCAGGGACCAAATTTATAATTCAAGCCCACCAGAGCTCTACCAGGCCCTGGTTTTCCTCCCAGTTCAAGGTCGGTGGGGTGGGCCCCTTCCCCTTCCACAACCCATTCTAGAGGCCAGACACCAGGAGGAGGTGGTCAAGCTGCAAGGCAGCCTGGGCTGTATGGGGGATGCTGCCCTGGGGTCTCCCCGGCTGGAATGTGGGAGATGCTGCCCCCTTCTGAAGCTGTCTCTGGTGTCCATGTGTGGAAAAGAAGCATGCTCGATGGAGTTCGTAGCCCTGGCCAGTGGCCAGAGTACCTCGGCAGCTGCCCAGACCGCAGCTGCCTTCCAACGGGCGGGCAGGCAGGCAGGCAGTGCTTACTGAGGCCATCAAGAGCCCTAGGGTGGGCAGGATGACCCGGAGGAGGAGGAGGAGGAGGAGGATTTCATGTGAAAGCTGGAACCCCAGGATGGTGGAGGGGCCACAGGCACCTTGAGACCAGAAAGAAAAAGCCACCTCCACTCCAGGCAGTGGGGCTTACTAGGTTCTTGGGAACAGATTTGGGGCCACGGATGGGTCTCATGTTGTGGGAGGTACTGATGCCCTGGGGTGCAGCCTGGGGCAGGCAGCTCAGTCTATGTTTAGGAGCGGTCTAGACCTAGGGCCAGGCAAGGAGGTCGAGGTCCATAGCCCATATCATGGGCATTTTTGCCAATCAATTCTTTGCTGACCTCAGTGGCAAGGGCCTTTTCTCCTTGACCTCAGCACCAACCTCCAGTTGCTGGGATTTTTTTTTAAGTTGTTGAAAATTTAAGTCAGACCAAAACTCGAAAAAAGAAGAAAAAAAAAAGGAACTTGATGCCTCACTTTTAGGAGGAAGAATATTATTTTCAGAAGCCTCTGTTGGGAGACCCTAGAGTTTCCTGGACATCAACTCCTTGGACATTCTTTTCTGTCTTTCTTTTTTGTTTCAAGGAAATAGAGCTGCCAGCAGCAACTTGCAGCTGCCTGGCTCACTTTTATGGTGGCCCTGGAATAAACTTTGGTGGTCAAATTCAAGTGCTCAGGCCCACAGCTGTCTCCTCACAGGAAGCGCACCCCCTCCCCACTGGCGGCCCTGGCGGTGCAGAATTTGCCTTGGGGGCTTGGGCCCCACGTTGCCCTGGAGGCCAGAATGGGGAAGAAAGCAGGACCCTGGGAGAAAGTGGAAACCCAAAGCTGAGACTCTGAACCCTCATCCACATCTCTGCAAGGAATAGTGATATCTCTCACCAACCTCTTGCTGGTTCCTATCACTGTTTGGGGAACATTTTGCCTTCTATAAACTCAGGTTTAATGAGGTCACTATGAACCCCATAAAAGCCATAGTCCATAGTTCCCCATCATTATAATTAAAAACGCTGGCCCCAGCTCACCCTATAAAAGGGGGTAGAAAAAGGAGGAAAGCAACAGATTTTTCTTTTTGCAGCCCCTTACTGATAGAGAAGTCACCTATAAAAGGGGGTAAAAAAGAAAAAAGGAGGAAAAACAACAGATTTTTCTTTTTGGAACCCCTTAGCAATGAAGCAGTCCAACACTTCTGCAAAGCCCCAATCTACTTCCTCTTTGCCCTCAGTTACGATCTAGTCAGGACAAAAAAAGGGCCTTTTAGTCAGCGATGGACGAATGGGCAGAGGGTGCCAGAGTCTTATCCCTGGGTATTCCAGAGCCACCCCAAGAACGAGACCCACGGTGGAGGCAGTTACACCCCAGATGCTGCTCTAAAGACTGAGCAAATTTGGAAAGGCGGGGCGGGGTGGGGGGTAAGAAGGAATAGATTTTGGGGGGTTTTATTTGGGGACAAGGCACTGTGTTTGTGTCGTCCACATCTGGTTCTGGGGCCTCAGTACTTCATCATGCTCAGCAAGGAAAATCAAATCCAAATGATATTTTTAAAATGGAAACAAATTTTAATCCAAATTTGGGTGTAAAGATAATTTGGGTCATTCCTGGCTGTTCCCTGAGTGCAATGAGCCGAGTCTTTCGGGGGCTTCAATTCCTCCCCTCCTACCAGAACAAATCATGCTCTGACAGCTCCTCCTTGGATCCAAGGTTGCTCTCTGCTCGTGACAGTTGCTCCAGCCCCTTGGACCCAGTCCAGAACCTTTCAATAAAGTGCTTTTCAGCTGACCAATGTGTCCTGTGGTGCCCAGAGGGATGGGAGGCCAGGGAGGGCAGAACCACTGAGGCCACCCCTTGGGCCACAGCCATCCAGAAGGCTGGCAGACCTGGTGGAAGAAGGCAGGGCAGGTCTGAGAAACAGGAAGGCGGCACCAAGGCCTGGCTGCGGCCCCTGGGAGCAGGGCTGGGAGCTTCCACTAGGGAGTGGCCCTAAGCGCTGCCTTGCCTGCCCAGGTTCCTCAGCTCCCTTCCACTGCCCTGCTGGTCTGTCTGGAGACTCGCATCTGGCCACACCACACACCTCTCAGTCCCAAATCATCTAAGGAGAAGAGCCCCAAACCTAGTCCCGCAACCATATCCTTCCGGAAACCCCCGACATTTATCTTCTTTTCAGCCCCCAAGCGGAGGCTGAGCCCCCAACCCAAAGAGAAGATACATGGCACTCATTCCAACCTTTTTCTTTGGGGTTTGAGATTTAAAAAATCCACCGTGGAGGTAGCTTTCTGTGCATTGATTGACAATAAAGTCAGGCATGAAATATTCACCCAGGGCCACTCTCCCATACTAAATATTTAACACAACATTAGAGACGGTTTTTCCCAGACTTTGCCAGGCACCGGCTGGGCGGCTGGCGCACTGCTTTCCACTCCTTTATGACTAATCTAAGTCCCTAGCTGCCGCAGCACAGTGAGCCAGACAAAGTTGGAACATTGGCTTGCTACTGGGCTGCCTCACCTTTGAGAAACTTCAGATACTCTTCTGAGGAGTCTCTCCAAAGGGAAAAGGTAGTCTTGACACCCAGTCCTGGGGGGGGGGGGAGAATAATTGATTTATTCCAACTCTTCCAAGTAGGCGCTGGCCCCTCTCCGGCTGGCGGGCTACGAGTCCCTGAGAGTTGGGGGTGAACGATTAACATCTCTGGCGGGACCAGGCAGGGGGGAAAGAGGTCCTCATCCCCATCCTAGTCTCTGCTGACCCAGGGGGAGGAGGCTAGAACCCCTTGCGTGAGAGCCCTCCTCCTTCCCCCAATCCTCGGGAAAAGAGAGCAGCAGCTAGGAAAAATACATTTACCCCCTCCCAGCCACCGCCCCTGCCCATCCCACCGCCCACCCCACCCTAACCCTCTCTCTCCTCCTTTGCTTGCTCTGTGGAATGGAGAGGAGGAGAGTGAGAGAGAAAAAACGAATACAAATCTGCAATTGATTTTCATAATGTTTCTGCGGTGTTTGCAAACCAATCGCCTGAACGTCCCCATCTTACCTAAGAGAGAACCCCTCCTACGTCTGCGAAGTGCTCCGAACTGATATATGACAATATCTACTTTGGATCACGTGCTCGGGGAGAGAGACTAAGACGGATAACGCGTCATCTCGCCTTCCCAAATTTTCCCCCCTCGCAAGACCGGGTCCAAAACGTCCATCTGGAGCCGGCAGGAGAAGAGAACGATGTTTAACTCGGTCAACCTGGGCAACTTCTGCTCGCCGTCGCGCAAGGACAGGGGCGCTGATTTCGGGGAGCGAGGGAGCTGCGCCTCCAACCTCTACCTGCCCAGTTGCACTTACTACATGCCCGAGTTCTCCACGGTCTCCTCCTTCCTGCCCCAGGCCCCTTCTCGCCAGATCTCCTACCCCTACTCCGCCCAAGTGCCCCCGGTCCGCGAGGTCTCCTACGGCCTGGAGCCCTCCGGCAAGTGGCACCACCGCAACAGCTACTCCTCCTGCTATGCGGCGGCCGACGAGCTCATGCACCGGGAGTGCCTGCCTCCTTCCACCGTCACCGAGATCCTCATGAAAAACGAAGGCTCCTACGGCGGCCACCACCACCCCAGCGCCCCGCACGCAGCCCCCGCGGGCTTCTACTCCTCCGTCAACAAGAACAGCGTCCTGCCTCAAGCCTTCGACCGCTTCTTCGACAACGCCTACTGCGGCGGCGGCGGCGGCGACGCGCCCGCCGAGCCCCCCTGCCCGGGCAAGGGGGAGGCGAAGGGGGAGCCCGAGGTGCCCCCGGCCTCGGGACTAGGGTCCCGGGCTGAGGCGGGGGCCGAGGCCGAGGCCGAGGAGGAAAACACGAATCCCAGCTCGTCCGGCTCGACCCACTCGGCGGCCAAGGAACCGGCCAAGGGAGCCGCCCCCAGTAGGTAGCAGCGGCCGGGAACCAGGCGGGCGGCGAGGGAGGGAGGGAGGGCGAGGACAGGGGGGAGGCGAGGGGAACGGGGACGGCCTCGTGTTTTGGGTCAGCCTGATTTTATGTGGAGTTTTATAAGCATTCAAAGGATTTTATTATAACCTACAAAGCCCTCTCTCCCAACGACTCGACTTTTTACGATGGAGAAAGGGTGGGGAGGGAGGGAAAAGGGCTCTTTGGAAAAAGCCGGGTGAACCCCCCCTCCCCGTTATCTCCCTCCGTCTGTGAAATTTTTAAAAGCGCCACCATCGCGGGCAATATTAACTTTGATCGTGAACTTAGAGGAGCATTTAAGGAAGGATGGGGAGCCGGGCTGCCGAGGGGTGGGAGGGAGGGGAGGGGTGGAGGGGGAGAAAGGGGAGGGCGAGGGAAAGACAGGGAGAAACTCCGAGAGGGGGAGTGGTGGGAGAGAGAGGCGACGGAGCAGAACCTGGGACCGGAGAGGCCAGCCGGGGCTGCTCTACTTCGTTTAAAAAACTAATTTTGAAATGTTCAAACTGTGTTGTCGTGGGGCCTTGAGCAGAACCCGGAGTCACTCGGGGTCAGCGGCGACGGAGGGACGGGGCGCGGCGGCTCCGGGCGCCACGGGGCTCCAGGCCTGGGTCCCGGCGGTGCCCCGCTCCCCGCGGCCTGTGCGCCCGCCCTGCCCGCTCTGCCCGGCGACCAGGGAGGCGCGGCCACGGGCGCCGGGAGCGCGGGGCCCCCGGAGCGGCGCTCGGGTGCCCCCGGTGCCCGCTCGCCCTGCTCGCTCGCGCCTCCCGCCTCCCGCTGCTCTGTCCCGCTCTCACTCCTGCGCGCTCGCTCTCCGCGCCCCCCGCCCCCCATTTCTGGGGGAGGGACGGTGGGTTCCCCGAATCCCTAGGAGGAGGCGGGAAGGGCCGGGCCGGCGGCCGAGCGGATGGGGCCGGGGCGCACTTGGCCCCCGCAGGCTGCCTTCCCCCCTAGACTGCGTCAGCCAGGGCTCTCGCCCGAGGGGCGGGGGTCCCGCGTGGCCCGGGTCGGGGGACCGGCCAGACCCGGCGGGGGTTCGCGGCGGCCCCAGCGCGGCGCCCGCAGGGAGAGGCGGCCGGCCCGGCGGGAGGGCGGCCCGCGGCGGGGCTGGGAGCGGGGCCGCCGGGCGCCCGGCGGTCAGGGTCGTCCGGGTCTCACGTGTCTCTCTCCCCCTCTCCTCGCACCTGCCCCCTCCCCTCCAGACGCCCCCCGCACCCGCAAGAAGCGCTGCCCTTATTCGAAATTCCAGATCCGGGAGCTGGAGCGCGAGTTCTTCTTCAACGTGTACATCAACAAGGAGAAGCGGCTGCAGCTGTCCCGCATGCTGAACCTGACCGACCGGCAAGTGAAGATCTGGTTTCAGAACCGGAGGATGAAGGAAAAAAAACTCAGCAGAGACCGGCTGCAGTATTTCTCGGGCAACCCTCTGCTGTAACCGCAGGCCGGGCCCTTTCTGGGGAGAGGGACAGGGGGAAATTATCTTATTTTATTTTTATTTTTGATTTTCTAACTCGCCTTCTTTCCGCGGGTGGAAAACTGGACTGTGGCCAGGGCTGGCCCCGCCGCCGTGGCCCGCACTTCCTCCCGGAACCCCCGCACCTCCCGCCGGACTCGCGCCCTGGGCCAGGCCCGGCCTGGAAGGAGGGTGACGGGAAGCGCCCGACCCTCGGCGGGTGGACTCCCTCGGCGCCGAGGCCAAGACTTTATTTAAAAGAAAACACACCTCGCGACGAGGTCTTGCTGCTCGGGCCGGTGGGGGAGGGGCGAGAGCCGTGGCGCCGGGGCCCTGCGATCCAGGAACCGAACGCTTTCCCTCCTCGCGCGAGTGAACAGATCTGCCGCGACGCCGCGTCTGCGGCCCGAGACTGCTGGGGCGACCGGCCCCCGGCCCCCTGCCCCCCTGCTCGGGGGCAGCCGAATGTGATCCTGCCTTGCTGTGAATTTCCGTACCTTCGACCTGGTGTTAGGTGTGCAAAGTCCGTGTCCTACCTCCGTCTGCGCCCAGGCCCCGCCCGAGCCTAGCTGTTCTCCCTGTGAATGTGTAGAGCCCTCCTTTACATTTCTTAACGGGTGCATTGAGGTTTCCCAACCTTTTTTCCACGTCGTGCCCCACTCCATGGGTTTATAGCTATAGTCTATGCAGTTGTTGCTCCCCCCCCCCTTTTTTTTAAGGAAAAAAAGATTGGTGTGGGTGAAGCAGTAGGGAGATGGGACTGGGCACCTCCCCCATGCTGGGGCCTGGATTTTTGTAAATAAATTTCACAAGCATTTCTTTCTACCCTGAGGGGTTAGGGGGAGGACTCGCCTGGAATGAGATTCAAATCACCCACCTCTCTCCATGTGCGTGAGTGTGTGTACATGTGCAATCCCCACCCTGCTTCTGTCCCAGAGGGATTGTTGTGAAATTCTTATGGTGGCAAATAAAGATATTTCATTCTGTTCAATATTATGATTTTATTTGACCCTTTTATTAGCCTCTCTCCTCTTAAAACCCTCAATACTCCCAAGGTGGAGGCAGAGGCATGCGGGCAGAGCCCTGGTGGTGTGGACAGGCTGTGAAGGTGAGGTAGGCCAGGGCTGGTGGGCCTGCACCCCACCCCCTCTCCCAGGGCAGGGGCCTGAGTGTGGCGGTAGCTTCCTCCCCATCTCAAGCTGAGAATATTCCGTGGCTCCTCTTAAAGCTCTCTTTTCTCACGTGCAGCCCAAGCTGCGTCCAAATGCCCAGCAATACTTTCCGTTTAAGTACACGTTTGTTGTGGAGTTAATTGTAACCATCATCAAATTTAAATTTATAGGAATTTTCTTGGCTCCACTGCCCTCCTGCCAGATGTCTCCGTCTGTTGCAGTTAAATGTGCAGGGTTGAGGATAGGGCGCTCTCTCTCTCTCTCTCTCTCTCTCTCTCTCTCTCTCTCTCTCTCAGAAGACTGTATTGGATTTTTTATATACAATTTTGAAGGAGAGAGGGGAGAGGAGGAGAAACCAGCCCCCTTCCTTTCCTCACCTTAGCTGCCCCTGAGGGTGGGAAGGTGGGACTGGGCCCTTCCCCTGAAGCACAAATGGCCAGGCTCCTCCAGACACAACAATATCTTAGGCTGGGGCCACCCTAATGTGTATACACTTGGTGTCCCCAGGAGAAAGGCCCAGAGACTTGTTTTCTAACAGGTTGGCTTGGGGTGCGACACTGGTGAAGATGGCCTGAGAGAACAGTGGGCCACGCCTATGCATGTTCTTGTTTTTCTGCATAAAGATAACCATAGGCCTTTCCGCACTGCACTTTCAGTGAGGGCACTCTGGCCGTCTCAAATACAAATTCATTCCTTATTTGGGGTCAGATATTTGAGGCCAATTCTTGTATCTTTCCCCCTCTTTGGAACTGCTCTTATGCAATTCAAAGAAAATGTTTTTGTCAATGCAATTCTGTTGAAGGGAAGATAAAAGTGCCAGGACAATGGACTGTTGCTTCTAGTCTCCATCGTCCTTTTTTGATAACTGAAATCCCTGCAGCTTAAGTATCTGACTCTCTAACTGAAAATGTGGTTTTGAGACAATATTTGCAAACTAAGCTGTATGTGCAATGCAGCCCCACAGTTCCCCCATGTGCCCACACACAAACATGTTTAAGTCAATGTGCCTATGGGCACACATGAGAAAGAATAGCATTTGCATGCTTTCCCTGTAGCATGAAGTAAACCTGACCACATGCACACCTAGGGCTGTGTCCTCTGTGGTGTGTAACTACTGGCAGTGTTTGGTGACCAGCAGGCATGCAGCTGAGGGCCCTCTGTGTATGAGTGTGTGTGCGTGAGTGTGAGACTTCTCTAGGTGTTTATCTACTAGTCAGATCCAGGAGGATTGGCCTGCTGGCCACGTTTCCAATAAAGTAACATGAAGATAACTCTGTAGAACAAATCTGTTATAAAGCAAGATATTAATCTCCAAAGACTCCTATTTCGGAGAAAAATATTTTAAGTCCTCAACTACCACGTTCCCTGCAATGTGCAGCCCAGAAAAGGTCCCGGACTCCAGGAGGGATTTCTGAAGGCTGGGTGGGGGGAGTCATAGTGAAAGAAAAACAAAGCTGCTCTGACCCAGGCCCAGGAACCTGCCAGCCCTTGGCGACCCTCTAAAAATAAGAAAAAAAGGGGGGGGGGTTCTCTATCTCCCAAACAAACCCACCTTCGGACCCTGGGGATGTCCAACACCCTTTTGTCAGGGCCACTCTGGGCTCAACTTCTCCGGGTAATCCCCTCCAGCCACAGCGCTGCCCTGGAACAAAAGATCCCCGTCTAGACGCCGCCATAAAGCGTTCCCCCCACCCCACCCCCGCGCCTCTAAACCCAGTTTCATTTCGCCCTTAACGACCCAGTCTGGCCTGTGTTAGAAAACGTTTCCGCCCTAAATAGTAAACAAGCCGGTAGTGGACGGGTCTTGGCACCCCCAACACTCCCCAGACCCCCGCTCCATTACCCCTTGCCCCGCATTTCCCCCTTCTCTAGCCTTTCTCAGCTCCCAGCTCCCCAACCCCCTTTCCCCGCCACCACTCCCCACCCCCAGTAAATAAACCCGAGGCCGAGTTCAAAGTTTCCTGGAGCTAAGGAGGAATGTTGGTTGTAAAAATCCAAGTTTATAGCGCACGTGGGAGTTTACAAGGGTATTAAGTGGTGTGGGCTGAGAGCGCGCACTCTGAGCCCCTCCCCCTCCTACTATGGGTTTTGGGGGTGCAGGAGGAACCTGGGGGGACTTGAAAAGAGAAGTGGGTTGGGTCCAGCCTTGGGTTTGGGGTTTCTTTGTCACTCAGACTCTAGGTTGCTGGGAAATGATGATGGCAGGGCCCCTAGGAAGATGGCTCACAGGAGCCCACTGGGAGCCTCTGAGAGAAAGTCCATGGGTGCTGTGAGGTGTCCCAGACGAGAGGTTGGGAGCTCTGCTCTGCGAGCTGCAGACCAGATATCTGAAAGGTGAACAGACTTGGGGACACCTAGAGCCAGTTCTCACCCAGAGGGGGGGAGACTGCCTGGGGCTAATTTCTTGAGAGGGCTAAAGGCAGAGAGGACTTTTCTCTCCAGAGCAAAGAGGAACTTTGAACTTCAAGGGAGTCAAGGGCATCACCCCTTCCCTTTCCCAACCTCTCTCAGGAATCTGTAGGGCAATTCGTTTCTGGGCCAATATTCCCTCAAGGGGGCAGTCCCTGGGGTTTTCTGGTGCCCCAGGGCTGGATCATGCTGTTTGCTGAACCCTCCCTTCTCTGGGACCCACAGCACCCTGTGCACGCGACTACACTCTTTATTATTCATATAAACCTTTGGAAAAGGCATCGCCCGGAAGTTTTTATAACTTTGTTTGGCATAAAAGTTTTACAAGATTCCTCCTCCCCTTTTTTTAAAACTTAAAGTTTTGTTTTTGCTATGAATGAAATTTCAAGATTTGGGGGAGGTTGGGAAGACAGAGGCTCTGGGGTCCTGGTGGGGGTATCTGGAGCTGCCTTGCTCTGCCTAAGGCAAAATAAGGCTTACAGATTGAGGTCAATATTTTCTGAGGCCCACATTGGACCCAGCTTTGGGGACTGCCAATGTCAGCAGGACCAGACCTCCCCCATCATGCCCTCTTGTTTGACTGCAGGCAACATTCTCTCTCTCTCTCTCTCTCTCTCTCTCTCTCTCTCTCTCTCTCTCTCTCTCTCTCTCTCTCACACACACACACACACACACACACACACACACACCCTCAATCCACTACATAAAGTGGAAACCCATAACCTTGATTCAGACCACAGATTTTGGGATTTGGGAGGGTCTCTGTACACACAGCCCTGCCTCCTGCTAAGTCCACAATGGGTTTGAAGAAAGACAGAATCCAAAACGCCAAAGAAATTCCTTTTGCCCAGAGGTTGCAGTGGTTGCCAGACAGAAGAAGGATGGCCAGCAGGGCTGCAGTCTGGGAGCTCAGAGAACAAAGGTGCCCAAGTGGACATGGCCTTGGGCTACTAAGCCTAGCAGTGAGCCCTTGGATCTGCTTCTTGAATCACCTGGGATTGACAGAACCCCACTTCTCCATTTTCCCTGACTGCAGCCTTAGGGAAATCAATTGGGCTCAAATTGAGGTTATTTTGCTGTTCAACTCTGGAAGTCAACACAAAGATGAAGCTAATTCTCAAAAGATAGGCCTGGTGGACAAGGCTCCTTTGGGGAGATTGAAATGAAGATACCTGAGCCCTGGAACCAGCGCTGCAGGGAGCCATCGGAGTCAGTTTCTCCTCTAATGGCGACTGTTAAGGCCTGGCCTCTGGCCGCCGCAGCCCTACACTTCCCCTTGTGAGAAGCCGAGTTAAGACTGAAGGCAGGAGAAGGTCAATTCCAAGCCTGAGCAGCCGGCTGGGGAGGGATGCGACCAACCGAGCCCGATCCTCTCCCCTCACAGAGCCCATCGCAACAGACAAACAAGAAAGGCTAGGGAAGAAGGTCAAGAGGAAGGGAAGCACTGAGAAGGAAAGAAAAGAGCAAAGAATAAATTGCATAATAAGGAAAGAAAGAAGGAAAAATGAGAAAGACAATGAATTAAGGAAAAGGAAAGGATCAGAAAAGGAGAAGGAAATAATGAACTGCAGAAAAAAAGAGAAGGGAAGAAAAATGCAGAGAAAGAAGGGGAGCAAAAAATAAAAAGAAGAAAAAAAAGGAAAGAAAGAAAGGAAGGAAAGAAGGAAGAAAGAAAGAGGTAAATGATGAAAAACAG